TATTAAATATTTTGGTAAATTATAAACTCTTTTAAGACTTGGATAATTTGAAATCAAACCGGTACCATCTTCTGATCGGTGCTGTAGGGGTGCTATAATTTTCTCATACGTAACTGTACTCTCGAACCTAAAATATAGTTTCGTGGATCAGAATCTACTATTTAAATATACCTAAGTCAATCTTAAGACTCATCTTTAAATGGAATAGATTCAATCAGGTGGCCAATCACACCTTCACAATTGGTGGTGACTCCTCAAATCTATGTCTAACGATAGGTTCACGGTTCTATACGTTATGACAGTAACCCATGCAAAGCCTAGCTTTTTAAGTAATTGTTTATCTTTTTCTTTCATGGTTTAGTATTTAGTAAAGAAAGTTTAACCCTTATTCATTTTAAGCCTTTTTATTTCATAACGAAAGTGATATCTTTTGTCTGTATATAGGTAAGGGTGTGTGTTTAGTTTTCTATATTCTTTTGTTGCATGATGTAGTCCACAATTGTGCAAACATTTCTTTGAAACTTGTCATTGAATTTAATAATTAATAAAATAAATTATAATAATAAATTTGTTATGGTGAAATTTTTTATCTAAAATTTTATTTTATATTTTATTTATTATATATTTTATTATATATAAGTAGAATGGATTGTGAGCCCAAGATAATTTATTTATTAAGAATATTTCGTGGTGAAAGATTTGAGAGCATAAATCACAATGAGTTAAGTTATGTAAGTGGTGGAGAGGTTAAGCATGAATGTGAACCTGATAAAATATCATATTCTTTGGTTTTAAAAATTATAGGAGAAATAGGTTATTCTCATGAGGTATTTATTTTCTTTAACATCTTTAGAGATAAGTTAGGTAAAGGTCTAGTATTGCTACATAATGAGACTATTAGTAAGAAACTAAAATGATATTTATTTGAAAATTGTATAGTAGAATTATATGTAGATCACCAAGTTGATCTTCTTAATTTTGTATAGGAACATCTATCTATTGCTTATTACACTAAATATGTAAATGTGAAGGATAAACATGATGACAATAATGATAGGTTGGGGGTTAACAGTGCAATGTTAAGTGATATAATAAATTATGCCATTAGGGATAAGGCTAAAGATGTTGCAATTGATGACTTTAATGATGTTTTAGGAATTAGTGAAGATGTGGTCAAGTATGAATTTAATAATGGTTCAAGTGTTAATGAAGATATGGGTTGGGATGAATTTAATGATAGTTTAGATGTTATTGGTAATGCAAAAAGTGATGAACTAAATAAGAAAGATGAACACAAAGTTTTTTAATAGATGTTGCTTGCTTAAATGATAATGATGATGAGAAGATACAAGTTATTAGAGAAAAAATAAAATTTTTCAAAAAGAATTAAAAAATGGATGAAATTGGTAACTTAGAAATTCTAGTGGATATATGGCATGGAGATTGTTTTAATGAAGGGTTTAGGTTAATAGAGGTAAAGGTGAAGGTAAGAATGAAAGGGTAAATGGGGATATTGGTGAGACGATAGTGAATAAGCTGTAAGTTAGGATGATAGGGTGCATGAGCTTGAAGTAGGTCAAGATAATGTTTATGGAGTAACATTAGAAGGAAAAATGAAAGGATATGAGACTGATTATCTAGATTTTTAAAATCTTAGAGATTATGAGAATGAACAATCTAGTGAATAAGGAAAAGCTATTCATCATGTTAAAAAGACACAAACTGGACCATAATATAATCCAAGGTGTCTTATTTTAGAATGGGAGCTAGAAATGAGATTCCAAAATAATAAGCAATTTAAAGATGTTGTGAAGAAGTTTGCATTTGCACAAGGGGTTAAACTTACGTTTAAGAAAAATAAACCAAAAAAAGTTAGGGTTTGGTGTATGAAAGGCTGCCCATAGAGTCTTTTTGCTAGTCATGTCTTTAGGAATCATTATTTTATGATTAAAATATATAATCTTGAGCATAGGTATTTTAGAACTAATAAGATTGATTTTATCTCTGCTGATTATATAGCTAAACTTTTTAAGGATATAATTTTATCCTAGCCTAATATGAAAATTAAGGACTTAAATGATTTATGTAGAACATAACTAAATGTCTACGCTAGTGACAATATGTGTCATAAAGGCAAAAGCATAATGATTAAGCAACTAGAGGGTGGTTATATAGATGAGTATGCTAGGTTACATGGATAAGCTACAGAGTTAATGTATACTAAGCTAAGTGCCATAATGAAAATACAAGTTGATAAAAATAATTAAGAGAATAAGTCATATTTTTTAAGGTTCTATGTCTGTTTAAGGCCCTTAATAAAAGCTTTAAAGAAGGATGTAAACTTTTAGTAGGGATTGATGGCTGTTTCCTAAATGGTGTATACAAAAGGAAGTTATTGGTTCCTGTGGGTGGGGATGGAAATAGCCAAATGTTTCCATTTGCATAAGCAATTGTGGACGTTGAAAGCAAGGCATCTTATAGGTGGTTTTTGAATAACCTAATATAAGATATTGGATACCATAATGGTGAAGGCTTGACATTGATATTAGATAGTCACTTGGTATGTTATTCATTTAATTATTGTATTTTAAAAATAAAACAAAGAAAATTTAATTTTTTTATCTAATTATATTATAATTTTTGTTAAACAAGTTTGTTTTATGTTATCCAAGAAATCTTGCCATAAGTGGAACATAGGCTATGTGCTAGCTAGGCACATATATGTTTAATGGCAAAAGACTTACAAGGGTGATGAGTTGAAGATGCAATTTTAGAATTTTACAGGGTAACTTATGTGGAGGATTTAAATGACTAACTTAAAAGATTAGATTTTGCATCAAATTTTGAAAAGTTGGCATTAGAAACCTATCTTCAATATTAGTGCATGGCATATTTTGATCCCAGATCAAAATGTGATATTATAGACAATAACATAACTGAAGCATTCAATGGATGGATATTGGAAGCCAAATGCAAGAATATTATAAGTATGCTTGAAGAGATAAGGCATATAGTAATGGAAAGGATGAATATAAAAAGGTCTTTCGTACAAAAGTGGAAAACTTACATTGCACCAAAGGCATTGGAGAAGTAAAAGAAATATATGGTAGAGTCTATAAATTATAGGTTGGCATGGAAAGGGAATGGAGGTTTTGAGATTGTGCACATAGAAGATCAACATACTATTTCTTTAAAGTAGTTGAAATGCATATGTAGGGCATGTGATTTAAGTGGAATACCATGCCCATATGCTATTTGTGCCATGTACCATGACAAGAAGAATCCCAAAGATTACGTGGTTGAATGGTATTTGAAAGACAAATATCTTGCTTCTTATAAACATTCATTGCAACTAGTGAAGGGAAAAATTTTTGGCCTAAGGATAATGATCCAATACAACCTCTATGTGAAGAAAATGCCTAGTAGACTATAAAAATATATGAGGAAAGAAAAAGATGAGCCAAAAAAACATAGTGAAAAATGGACAAGAAAAGGTCTGAAAATTAAATGTATGATATGTGGACTACAAAGACATAACGACAAAGCTATCCATAAAGAACAACATGAGCTCTAAACCAAAGGTACATTCTAAAGTGCAAGTTCATAAGTTTTTCTTTTTATTGATATTTTCTTATGAAGTTGGTTGCTTTGTATTTTCCTGTATAGATCAAGAAGCATGGACCATCAATCCCAAATATAGAGTCAATTTGTAGGAAGCATGGCCAATCAATTATTGATACTCAAGCACAACCTAAGCAAGGGAAAGAAGAGATGCAATTGAATGCAACTTGTACCAAAAAAAAAAAAAAAACAAACTTTAGAAAAAAGAAAAGGCTTTGAAGGGATTGGCTTGTACACAAATCTTCACAATAGTGAACAAGTATGGAATGTAAGTAATTTTATAGCGTTAATTTATTTTAATAAAATAACTAATTGCACATTTCATTGTGTACTTATCATATATGTGTTTCTTGATTTAGCCTTGTAGATCAAATCAAATTACAATGTCTAATAAAAGGAAAATTGGGGCTGTTAATGCATCTACATTTGATCTTGTATGGAAAGGTGCTAGTCTGAGGTGGAAAGGACACAAGCAACCACATCAAGGAAACCACAAGCAGAAAAAAAGATAATGGTGTCTAAAAAAGGGAAAAAAATGCAATTGCTTCAACTATAGGAACACAAGGAAATCAAACTTGATTTTCAAATGTTGGAGCTTAATTTCATATTGTCTACATTGAAATTTTGTTAGAGTTATGATAATTCTAAAGTGGGGCATGCTTTGCAATACAACTCCTGTGATTAAATTGTGTTTTTGTTTGAATAATAAGCTTACAGTTAGGTTAGGATTTTGGTTGTAAACTTGAAATGTTAGTTGAATTATTGTTTTTATTGTGTGTAATTATTAAATGGCTTAATCAAGAATTTGACTTTCCTATTTGGTGATTAAACATGATTGCATTTAGATACGGTTTCTTCTTTGTGCATCTTATAGGTTTATTTATTGATATAGTTTTGTATAAAAAAATTTACTGTTTAATTTATTAGTGCACTTAATGCTATATTAGTATGTGCGCATCATGGCAAAATTTTTATTTGTTCTAAGATTTCAGTTTTAACAAAAAAGATGAAGAGTTAGAGTTTTTAAGAGATTTTCTTTTCTTTTTTTTACGTTTTTCGTTTTTAGTATTTGATGATTAATTGGATCTAATTTATTTTTATTTTTTTCCTATTAATAATATGATATAATTTTTTTGAGTCTAGCATAGTACCTGTCTATTTTTGCTACATCAAATTTTTACATGTCATATGAATACCATTATATCAATGTATTAACTAGTATTTATGTCAATGAACGGATTCCATCCAAAAACAGGTTTGGATATAAAAAATAACAATTTAAAAATTTATTTAAATGCAATAAATGAATAATTTTTTTTAACTTTTTAGATATAATTTAGGAGTTTTTTTTTTTATCCTTTTAGCCTGACGATACGTCGATTAGTTCGTGGAATAAAGTGGAGTTTATTTTTGGCATCATTGAAACTTTCACGAGTGACTTGTCTGCGGTGCTCACCGTTTACTTAAAATTAATGACTTTTCTTTCCCTCCTTGGCTTCCTCAATTATTATGGACCAAAATTAAACACAAATTTATTAGGCACTGTATTAGCTTTTTTACGACAAATTAACACAAGTTCTACTTTAGTAGCAACCTAGAGCAACATCATCTACGAAAGCCTTAAGGTTGTTGTCCAAGGATCCACCTTCCATGGTGGCCTCCCTTGCCAAATCTTTCCATTTTTCAACATTGCTTCTTACTTCATTCGCTTTTTCTCCATCTCCCATCACCAAATCCAAGCATCTATTAATCTCATCACGTTCCACTATTCCGTCCTCGTTTGCGGTCACTCTCACCCCTGTCTTCCAAACATCTTCAATGAGCTTGGCATTCGTCCCTTGATCTGTCCATTGAGGGAAAGCCACAACCGGCACGCCTGCAGCCAAGCTCTCCAACGTTGAGTTCCAACCACAATGCGTCACGAAGCACCCTAACGATGGATGACACAAAACTTCAACTTGTGAACACCATGGAACTATCATCCCAAACTGTTCTAATTCTTCTCTACAATTCAATTTATCTTCCTCTTTCTCTTCCTCTCCATTTTGTTTCTGATTTCTAAGCACCCACAAAAAGGGTCGCCTACTGGCTAATAAAGCTCGAGCTATTTCCTCTACTTGTTGCTTTGCTAACACAGCAATACTTCCAAATGACACATAAATAACTGTCGATTTTGGTTTCGAGTCTAGCCATTGGACATAATCTTTTGAACATTGAAAAAGATCACCTTTGAAAGAACCATCCGGTGGATCTTTTCGATCTAGAAAAGAAGATGGGATCAAGGGTCCGACCCCAATCACCTTAAACTTTTCAATAGCTTTTAATGCCTCGGGTTCCAAAGCATCAAAGGTATTAACAAGGATTTTAGCATTCGTTTCTTCAGCAAGAACTTCGATTTGTTCTTGAAACAATGACAACGCCAAAGGGTAAGCATTTGAAGGGGCAAAAAATGAGGGAAGGTCTCGGCTGGCAAGTGGTGGCAGCCCTGGTAACCGTATTAGGCATGACTTGGATTCACCATCTTGGTCCTTAATAGTCTCCCCATATCCATTAAAGTAAAAATAGTAGATGTCAAGAGCTGTGGCAGCTTGAATCCACAGTACAGCTGATGGGATGTGATGTTCACGCGCCACCTCCATAGCCCAGGGAAGGAGTAAAGAACAAACGACGAAGGTGATTGGTTTGCCTTCATTGTCACTGCTTTCTATAAGTTCAGCGAGGGTTTCTTTGCCTCGACGCTTTAATTCTGACATGTAATGGTCTTTGTCATCTCCGGACCTTAACCCATCGTCATAGCCATCCGAATAGGTTAAGAATGATAGGCCTTGAGCGGTGGGGACTTTGTTCATGCGGCGACGGGCGGAGAGTGTGGTGATGAAGGTGACACATGCACCAATTCGTATAAGACGCTTGGCGAACTGGAGGGTAGGGTTTATGTGGCCTTGAGCAGGGTAGGTTATTAGGAGGAAATGAGGTTGTGGCATGGTGGGGACGTGGTGGTAGTGACGGCGCCGCTGTTGGCGGGTGGAAAGAAAAGTTGCTTTGTTTGCTGCTTGTGGAAGTTGAAATAAATAAAGGGCAGTTGTGGCTTTTATAGCTGCTTGGAGTTCAAGAGATGACGTTTGAGCTGACGATTTTTGAAGTTTGGGTAATCCTATTCGAACTTGTCTGATTCTGATTGCAGTCTAACTAATCATTAAGTACTTATTAAGTAGCCAAAGGAGTTATGATGTAGGAAATGACATGTTTGTGTTACGCAACGAGACAAAGAAAATTTATATAATCATTTTCTATAATATTTAAGAGTCATTCGGATTAGGATGGAATTAATTTCGTTGAACTTAGAAACATTGATAGAGGAGAAATTAATTATTATAATGATAGATTAAAATTAATAATAATATTTAATTTAAATGTAAAAGTAATTGTGATGGTGAGGGAAAATATAATAAAAATAAAAATTAATTATTAGAGATATTGATTAAAACATGGTATGTAATAAAAATATTAAATTATTTAATATTTATCAAATTAGTAAATAATTAAAAATTATTAAATTATTTTTTTTTAAAAAAATAATTTTTAATAAATATTTAAAAATATTTATTAATTTATTATATAATAAAATGTGTTTATTAATTAATTTATTATATAATAAATTTTAATTTTGTATTAAATTAATAAAAATACTATAAATTTTAAATAAAAATCAAAATAAAAAAAAGTAAAGTTAAAAGTTAATAGAAGTTAAGGGACAGAAATGGAAAAAAAATTTTAAAAATTGTAATGGCGGTGGACTAGTGCTTAAACGTTTGATGAGCAAATGTTGAAATTTAAAACGTAGAACAAGTTCATTTGGATTTAAAAGCTGCTGTTGGCTCTACTTTTCAAAACAATTGCACCCCAGAGGATGCAATGCATTCCAAACCCACACTTAGTAATGAAAAATTTTAGTAACCCTTTTCTCCAACATGTCCTTTTTTTTTGTTGTAAAAAAATTCATAAAATGTAAAAACAAAAAAAAAATCTGATTTAATTTCTTTAGTCTCATTTTGAGTGTTCATTATTTTTATATCTCAATTTTTATATTTTAAGTTATTTTTTAACATTATAATTATAGAACATTAATTTTATAACAATAAATTTAAAATCTTAATATAAAATACATCAAAATCATGTTTTTCTAAAACTCTATAAAATCAAATATTTTCATAAAAATGAAATGGCGAAAATAATTATCGACAATCTTTTTTAAAAATATATAAATTTGAATAATTACTTTTGTTTAATTTAAGAAAAATGATATTCAAACTTTAATTTGAGCAGGAATGCACCAATCACTGGACCAATATTATATTATGATTTAATTTTTTTTCAAAACTAATTTAGCTAAATTTGAAGATCTTTGGTTTTTAAGATTTTAAATTAACTTAGTTATTTACCTTACTTTATTATATTTATAGTGAAAATAAGAAATAAAAATATTTTAATCGATTATCTTTTGAATCAGTTGTTATTTTATTAGAGTTGACATTTGAAGTTTATGTGTTCAATAAGTATTAGAGGCGTAATATTCTTTTCAGTCAAATATGCAATTGGATAAGAGAATTTAAGAGTAGATTAGAAGCTAAAATAAAAAACAAAATATTTTTAAAATCTAAAAATTATGCTGTGAGCCGTTCATTTATTTATTATTGTACTTAAATTTCATCATTATATAAGATTAATATTTCAAAAAAAAAAAATTATATACGATCAACATTTGATAATGCTTCTGTTTTAACTTCTATCTTTTCTTTTTTTTTTTTTTTTAAATCCCTTCATTCTCCAATATTATTATTTTTTTATTTTTGAAAATGATAAAATAAAGTGTTTAGCATATCATTTTGTTCATAAAGGTAAAGAAAAATCTATTTAGATTTTCAAAATTATTGAAAACAAGACATTCCCGTTCCTTTATAATAATTTTCAAATTTTTTTTTTATGCTTTGACGCTGTCATTTCTTTTTCGGCAAAAATGGAAGGCATAATAATAAATTTAATCTTCAAATTAGACAAAATGATTCTCGTTACTAACGGTTTCTCTGAGCAGCCAATTGCCAAACCTGACATGCCATGTGGTTAATGAAGTGGCATGCTAAATATAATTATTTATGATCATTTTAATTTATATAAAAAAAATGAATAACATGATTTAGAAAGTTAATAAAAATTATATATTAATTTGAAAAAAATGAAAAAAGTATATTTCATAGTATATTTCATATTTGGTGCGTTAATCAAAATTGTGATGTTAGATCAATTTTTGAAATACAGTTTTTGATAATAAAAAAATTTGAGGAAAAGATCTAAAATATCTAAGAGTGACATTTTTATTTAAAGTTTTATTTGCTACTACTATATTATTTATTTAGTAGGTATGTAAAATAATCATAGACAATGAATCTCAAAGATAAAATAAAATAAAGTGAGTAATTATATTCCACACTAACGAAATCAATCTATCGAATATTCATTGATATATAACAAAATTATTGAACTTTTATAAAGAATTTTAGTAGAAAAAACCTTATAGAAGAAAACTAAAATTATTTGGAGAATTAGATGAGTGTTTTGATAAGTTGTCTCTCTATATTTTAAAAAAAAAATTTGTAACGTAAGTTAAGAGTCTTTGTTTTATAGACATATCTATTTGTCTAATATCTATATGTTTAAACTTAACTATTTTTTTAATAGACATAATTATATAGATATTTAACTTTTTTATTAAAAAATTAGACTATAAATAAATTATAATTTATTAATTGCCAATTATTATTAATTAAATAATTAATATATATTTAATAGACCAACCAAACCTTGGAATCTAACCTTGCATTTTTTCCACTTTAGTCAAATTATATTAAACTTCCACTCCTTATACCAATTTATTAATTGCTGATTGTTATTAATTAAATCATTAATATATATTTAATAGACCAACCAAACCTCGAATCCAACCTTGCACTTTCCACTTTAGTCAAATTATAGTAAACTTCCACTCAATTTAATTTAAATGGCTTTTTTTTGCTATATTCAAATGGCCTTTTTAAATATATATATATATATATATATATACACACACACAATGTGTGATTGCTTTTTACACTTATCTTAAAAAAACTCTAATAGTGATATGATAATTTTTTTTATTTTATAGGTATTTGATATAAAATATATAAATACAAATATACGAATTAATTGTTTAGAGAAACTCTTAGTGACAATTTATAAATCTAAATTTGAAAAATAAAAAAGTTTCATATTTATATCCATTTCGACATCTACCTACACTCCTGCTCCAAATTACTAATCTCACCCCAATCTTAATACAACTCGTCTTCCCTTACCAAGCGTGTTGAGAATTTGCTTTGAATTTTTTAACCCAACATGATAATTTTAGTTGAATTATAAGTGTTGAAAGTTTATCTTAAATCTCACATAGAAAATTTAGTAAAGTTATAAGGGTTTCATAAATATGATGATCTAGTTTTGTTTGTGTTAAGATCATGATACTGCTGATACCTATTGTTAGGACAAAAGCTGCAATCAATCAAATATCAAAGTCAGCAGAAGCAAAATCAAATAATCAATCAATCCTATAAGATACAACAATTTAATGTGATTATGTCCAATAGGCTAACATTCACAGATAAGAGAAAAGATTCACTAGTTGTAGAGATTACAAACAAATATTAAATCAAACTTACTCATAATTAATATCTGTAGGCTCTTATAATCTATTTTAGTCCTATAAAATATTCTTAACTTAAATAATACTTACCCATGTACACCTATATACTATACATATGTGAGCTCTCTCAATCTCTTCTAATCTACTCAAATATACATACACATAAAGATGCTCTCAATCTTTTCTAATCTTCTCGGCTGTCTATCTTATTAAAACCTTACAACTTTCTTACATCTTTTTCTCATACCTAACTATATAGCGATTCCACTTATTTATAAGTATACAACTTGCCTATTAAGAATCTCTTTCTTTTAAGAATTCTTCTCCTATAAGTTGTCTTATTCATAAAGTAATATATAACCAATCCCATTTGGAATAAATCTCTATTTACATATCTTATGTGATTTGAGTCAATCCAAATAGATTGGTCATCCCAAATAGTAAGACACCAAAAGAATAACTAAGTACACTCGCTATTAAAAAGGTATAATTAAGTTTTGGAATTATATTTCAGTAAAGAGTTTTGTGACTTTTCTCGTTCCAATAGTCTTATAATTATAATAATTTATTTTGTTAATGAATTGGACTTTAAGTAGGCTATTGGAAGTTAGATCGAACCTAGTATATTTATGTGTTTTATTTTTAAACTTACTCTATTATTTATGTGTTTAGGTGCTGTGTGTGTTTGATTTCTAACAAAAAGTTGTAGTAAGAAGAAGACCTCAAGCAAAAGCCAATGTTGTCAATCTGTATCATGGTTTTGGTCCCTCAAGACAGATTTATAAAGTCATTACTAGGGCTAGTCATAGAATCCAAAAGACTTGTGAAGACCCCATGTCCATCATCATGATCCTAAATCGTATGTTTAAATTATGGGTTTTATTTAAAAAGTATATATAACGTGATTTTGATTTCTGAGCAAAAAATGCACCAAAATATTTATTATTGTTAGTTTGCAGTTCATTAGTTATTGTTATACTATATTACTTTCATTCTTTCATACATATGATATATTGGTCATTTTAGTATACAAAAAATCTACAACTTTTCCTTCATTTCCTTCAATCATAGTGAATGGTAATGAATGTCATTGTCATTTTCTTGCAAGTACTAGTAGTTAGAATTTTTCAGTAAGTGATTTACTATTAATTGGTAAGTTCAATATTTAATAAAATAGGCTGATAAATTTAATCTTATTACAAGATAAGCATTAGAGCCCAAAATAGCTAATTGTGATCACTTACGTATGGGTTTTGCACATCTTATTGGGTCAGTGTGGTTTGAACGTTGTGTAGACCTTTGGCTTCATAAAC